ATAAGGATTGTTCTGGGTTTATGGTTGAGGTTACAAAACAATCAAAAGGGTGACAGAGCACACAGTATAACTTTTATAAGCTTCGCTCAACTAGGCAGAAACAGGCTCTTGGAAATGTCTCACCATTTCTGCCTCCAGTGTTTACTGGAGAATCCTTATATGGTTACTTACAAATCCAGACAGGAGTTTACAGAGGGCTCGAAGGCAGCCGTTTATAGGTGGTTTGAAGACAGAAGTTTATAGAGAACTTGAGTATTTTTTTTGGCATGCTTATCTTCTAAAAGTTATTTTTCTGCTCCACAATTTTGGAAGTGGAGTTGTTCAAGTTCTGAGAGTATATGTGAAAGCCCCAGTAAGAAAGGGGTTAGACTTTCATCTCCTACGATAGTGTTTCTGCTTCTGGAAGGGATGCTAGGATTTTAGGACAGGTGCCTCCCAGCCACCCAGAAAGCTCTCTGGAGTTTAGCCAGAACGTCAGCCCCCATGGATTAATTTGAAATTCACTCAAATAGTCATTCTTAAATGCCTACTCTATGGAAGAACTGCATTTCAGGCACTCACGACTGGATAGGGGGTGGACAAAGACAGGGTGGTGAGGACTCACGTCCCAGCCGGAAAGTTCTTAGAGCCTTCCTGTGGCCAAGCAGTCTGCAGCAGGTTAAGGCTTCCCAGAAGACTTCAGAGAATGCTTCCACTAAACCCTGCATCTAGAGCAAGCAGGAGGGACTTGGGGGCACAATGTGGTGTAGCTGAAAGCACACCAGAAAGGGGAATCGGGTCCCTGGGGGTATATGTCCGTTTGCTGATAACTCAATTTTTTTAGGGGAAAGTGAAGACACTAAGATGTTCCCAGCACTAACAAGTTGAAAATTTAAAACTAACAAAGCAGTTACAATCCTCCCCAGCTGCATAGAGTTTTGTGGTCCGCATCCTGTCCTCCTTTGAATCTAATCTTCTCAATACCCCAAGAAGTAGACAGGATGAAGATTATGATTTCTGTTCTATAGATGAGGAAACTCAGATTTACTGACATGCCAAGGTCACACAGGGATGGGCAGATCCCTACCCACCTTGACTGTTATTAGGCCTCTGACCCTAACAACCTGTAATTATGTGATCAGCCTTGGGACAGCAAAACATCTGTCGGGGGAGGTGAATATTTAGATGGCAAATGTGACTTTTATGTGGAAGATGTCTCAATACAGTAGCATTTTATAAAAGGAGACAAGGAATAGGGTGGGAATATCCCACACTGTCTCTGGGATAGCGACGTTTTGTCAGTTTATTAAATTCAGATTTATTGCTAACTCCCTGACCAAAAACAGAGCTGTTAGCAGTCCATAACATGGAGCAGAAATATGAGTTTTCAGTGAATCCAAGAAAAAAATAAAGAGAAGAAACCTTAATGACCTGTCACTTGAAATAAATCTTAGTGGTCACATAAACCAGGATGACAGGAATTTATATTGTTCCTCAGCACTTGAATGACTAATGTGGTCAGAGTGAGGAGACACAGAAATTATTTCTCTTAACAAGCCAGCACCTGCATGCACACTCTTGGAACTGCTTTGATGAAGTCCTGAATGTCGCCTTGACATCCCTCAGTCATGCTGTTTGTGGGCAGTAACCTTCCCACACAGCTTGAGACAAAGGTGGCATTTCAGCTCTGTCCCAGGGGCTCTGGAAGGTTCTTAATCAGAGGAGTAGTGCTGAGATGCTAGAGAAAATCACTGGAGAAACATTGACATAGGCAGGGCAGGGGCAGTGGAAAAGGGCCTCAGAGTGTCTCGGGGTGAATGTACATCTGAACCATTCCCAATCCCACCCCATGCTGGGATTCTGGATTCTGCAGCATCAGAAGTACTAAGTAGAGCTGGAAGAGTCCTCAGAGTTCAGTTAGTTCCATTGTTCAGATGAGCAGACTTAGGTTTACAGGATGGAAACAACTAGTGCAAAGTCACAGAGCAAGAGAGTGTCAGATGCAGAATGAGAGCTCAGATTTCCAGACTCCTGGGCGTCACATAGCGTCTGTTAGTGGACAATGGTCCTTTCTTAGTTGAGCCTGAATGAATATAAACCTGCATGCCACTGATATCTACTGGATGTCCCATGTTCAGTACTAAGAATGTAATCGCCCAACTAAACAATCCTGCTGAGGATGTTCCCCATGAAAATCATTACTGACCCTAAGAATCCTGCTCACAGATACAGTGTGTTACCTTCTACACTGTGTTTTCACATTCTTCCTCTTATGGGATCCTTATGCACTGAAAAGGCTGACAGGATGGTTGCTTTTGTTCTTATTGTATAGATAAGAAACCGAGCTTCCTAAATTAAGGCTAATAAGGCTGCACCTCCGCTATCTCAAAGGAGCAAGAGTCTGAGGAATCAATGAAATCCTGAATGGATTGTAACGAAGTGCTGTTAATGGGTCAAGTTAACAACGTTGCCAGGTGTTGTGAAGAATACACAGAATCCCCAGCTCCGACCCTGTTCCTGGAGACACTGCTGTCCACTGCAGAACCAAGAGGCCATCAAACCCCGACCTCTTCTGGCCTGGGCTGTCCTAGCCTTCTAGAGTTCACACAACCAGTTCCTGGAGGTTCTGGTTAATTAAACTAAAGCAGGTTTGTTTTTTTTTTCTTTCCTAAAAACAGTTAATCTAAAACTTAATCCTTTAAAAAGGATCTCTACATCTGATTTGATGCCCTATTCTTTTTGTCATTAAATTTTTTGAAACTATTTTGAAACCTGTTCATCATAGAGCACTTCTGGCTAAGTTTTATCCTTCTATTCATTTATCAAATTTGCAGTATTTTATGAAGATGGTACTTCTTATCTACACAGGTGTCTTTTCTTTTAAGAGGTATAAAACCAGCCTTTCCTCAAAATGATATGTATCTAGCAATAAATACTTGCATTAAAAACCTGAATTCCAGTCAACTGTTATGCACAGACACACCTGATCCTGTCTGTGTAATTACAGATGATATGTAATTACATATAATCAGCTATTAATTTATGAACTAAAATATGGAGCCTATATTCCAGGTAACCCAGAATGAGCTACTGCAGATTTGATTTATTGTGACCTAAGAATGGGCATTAGAGGTTATCTAGGTAACACACAAAGAACACAGGGGGATGCTGTCAGAACCTGGAGGGGAGGAGGCCTTTGAACTCTGGCAAATGTGGCATGTATAGAAGGGTTGACAGGAGTCAACCTGGGGCTTGGCATCTGAGCCCATCTAGATCTTAAAAGGCTTTAGAAATGATGACGTCAGCAGTCATTTCTTTCAGTCATTCCACCAATTAGCACATATTTATGGAGCACCCACTGTGTGCCAGGCACTACACTTGATTCTGGGAACACAACTGTGGGCCTAGACACACAAGCTCCCTGACCTCGTGGAGCCTACCCTCTAGTGGGGAAGACACATCTTAAGTCACAATCACACATCTGTGTCATTTCCTTTTTTTCTGTGTTAATAGAATTCTGAAACTGTTTGGCATGGCAATATGTCCAACCAACCAATGACATTTCCCAGGCTCCCTTGCAGCTGAGGATAGTCATGTGACACATTCTGGCCACTGAAATGTAAGGAAGTCTGTTGGGTATTGCAGGAAAGTTTTGTTTTCCTGATGTTGGTGCTATCCCTTCCATCTTGTTGTTTCTCCCCCCCCCACCCCTTTCTTCCTAGAATGTGAATGTGAGACTAGAAGCACCGTCTTGTAGCAATGAGGTGGACATACAGACTTAAGTGAGAAAGAAATTAGCCCCTTCTCTTTGGTCAAACACACAGTAACTGTGTCTCTCTTACATGCAATCCCTACTGATAAACTCACCTGTGCCTTGGACGTGAGATTATGAGGCCAGAATTCTCTTAATGTGTGGTAGGAGCCTGGAAAGTGGTAGGAGCCAGCAGTGGTCAACAGCCAGGACTCCAGAATTATGTCTGCCAGGGCTGGCAGATAAGTAAGTTCTAGTCTCCTATGTTTCAAGGGCTCCCCCAAAGCAGAAAGCATGTTGTAGTGGGTTGTAAATATTCTTTGCATCTACCATCTGATTGCATTGTGAGGTGGAGGGAAATGCACCCTCTTGCCTACTTCACAGGGCTGTCACAGAGAAGGAGGAGATGGGAGCGTGTGGGTGGAAATCTGTAAAAGCTGTGGAGCTGCAGGAAGGTCAGTTAACTTTCTTTTAATACCAGGCAGTCTGAAATTAGAGGTAGCAAGGCAGGAAACACATACAATGAAAGCCTAAGGAAGAGGCAGATTTTGAACTGGCCCCTGAAGGATGGTGCTGACCATGATGGACAGACACAGAAGGCTGAGTACACAGGACGGTACAGAGCTGGGGGCCAGGACAGCAAAGGCTGAGAACCAGTGTAGAAAAGAGGTAGGCCAGGACCCAAGTACTTTCGTGTGTTAAAGAATGGACTGGAAACCAGATCACCACTCAGGGTAAATGACCAGTGACAGGGTATGAGGGGTGTGTGTGTGTGTTCATGTCAAGGGTGATGAGTGAGTGGGGAGGTCAGCTAAGCTGAAGGGATGTGGAGCTGCGGTTGAATTTTTTGAAGCGGTATTTCCAAGGCCTGGGGGCCCAGTACTAGAACTTGCTCTACAGCACACGCTTAGAAGAAATCCAGGCCCAGGACAGCCTCCTCTTCCTTCCCAGGGCCACCCACCAACACGCACACACTGGGAAGTTCTTTCCACACGGCATGGCAGGGCCTTGGAGAGATCACAACAGGGAGATGAGACAATTAGCTCCTCGCATTCTTCCTGCAGGAACAAATCCGGGCCCCCATGGCATCTGTCCCCTCCTGTTCCTCCAGCTGGCCTCCTTGCCACGTGCACGCCCTGCCCGCAACCAGGCCCAGCTGCTTGCAGCTCTCCTGCCCACTTCCGTTTCCAGGAGGGGTTCCGGAGGCTGGAAGCAAGGGGGGCGGAGTGATTGATGACAGTGCGCGCGTGCCCCTGGACTCCTCGTCAAAGTTCTCCTACAGGGTTGGCAGCTTTATGTTGAAAGCTGCTCCGTAGCTGAGGCGGCATATGGACTGTTGACAGAGCAGCTGCTGGGGAAGAAGACGCTGAAAGGAAGCCTCAAGGGATAAACAGAGAAACCCATGTCACCACGTGGCACCCAAGGCGCACTGCTCAACGCCCAGCTCGCAGACTCTCATCTCCTTCCGGGTAAGGAAAGTGGTTTTAGGCAGCTGCGCTAGATCTTATGCTCTTAAAATAATGCTCATCATCATGTTAACATTTGTTGGGTGCTTACGATGTACCAGCCAGTTCTGTAAACTACTTTAGGTGCATTATTCCAACTCCTCCTTCAAGCAAACCTCAGCCAAAATAACTATTATTGATCCCATTTTCTTGTTTTTACAGATGAAAAAACCAATGCTAGAAAGTTTAAGGGTATCATGCTGGTCAGTTAGTTAGTAAGTGACTCAGGTTTAACTCCAAAGCCCTTACTCCTAAACATGACTGTGGTTTTCTCCCGCAAGCGTTGTGAGTGTCAGATCCCTGGATTAATACTGGTAACTAAGATGCACCCTGGTGTGATTTACCATGCAGGGTGTGGCACGGAGGCATGCAGTGAATTAGATGAATAACATATCAGTCAACCCTGGGGGGCGCTGCTTTCACATCCATTTTGCAGGTAGGAAAACAGGCTCCTCAGGGAGTCTTGCCTAAGACCTCATACTAAACTTGGCAGACAGGAGACTTGAACTCTGATCTTCAGAATAGAGCTCTGGAGTTTTCTCTGCCCTACCTGGTGTGCATCAGGTTAAGTGGGGAGAGAGGTAGGCTGGGTGAAGGGGGGTGGAGAAGCATGAGTGAGAACATAAAGCTATGAATGTGATTTATTTCAGTCAGTTGCTGATATCTTAATAAATCCCTGGTCTGTAGAGCCTGGAGAATATTGTTTCTCCAGGAGAAAACAAGAGCCTCTAGTTTCAGCAAAAAGATGTTAATTTCTTTTTTCTTGTTGTCAGAGCCCCAACTGCATCCCAATCCCCGGGGAGCTATGGGTCAGTCTCTGTCCCTCATGTCTGTCAAACGCCATTTTCCCCAGGTGGATCAGTTGCCCCAGCTGGCAACCTGGACCTTCCAGACATGTAGACAGAAACCAAGAGCCCATTCATCACACTGAAAGCTGTTACCCGACAGAGATCCAATCCCATCATGAGGCTAGAAACTTGGAGAGAAATGAGGTGGACTAATTTTTTCAGACTCCAGAGGGAAAAGTTCCCCAGTATCAAAGGCAGCACCATAAACCGCATGAACAGCACTATTAGCTCCACGTGGGTGTGTGGCAAGACATGGCTTGGCTGTTGGCATGAAGACGAGAGCAGAAGCCTGCCACATCTGGATTGCAGACATTTTTAAGGGTCCACTGAGACCATAGGCACTTCTTTTCCAGCCTCTGGGAGGCACAGGGGTACCCTGAGTGGGTCCTCGTAGATAGAGGCAGAGGAACCAGACTCCTGGGCCCTTCTTGACTGACACTCTCCTTTCCTTTCCACCCTCCCCCCAGCTACTCTCTCCTCAACCTCATCTGATACTCTTTGACCTCTGGGTATTTGCTTATGCTCTGCCTAAGCAAGGATGTGCTTATTATGCACATCCTTCCTCCTTTCTGCCCACTAAACTTTTATTTATACTTAGAAGCCTAGCTCAAGCCACACCCCTTGCACTCTCCCTGGCAGAACTGGATACTTTCTGCTCAAGATTCCCACAGCACTTTGCGTATTCTTCAACTTCTCATATTCTATTGCCTTTGTTTGCTTTAAGGGTCTGTTTCCCACACTAGGCAGAGAAGGAAGTAGCCAGCCCTATTCCCTTCCAGAAGTCCAAGGACCTGGTAGATTCTGATGCTTGTTTGTTGCTCCCTTTTGAATGAACAATAAGGTGTGATGTCTAACCTTTTGGCAACCTCAGGTTGATTTTCTTTTGTATTATTCATTTTGTACAAACTCCTGAGGGAGCTTTGAGAGACCAGTGGGGAGCAACTTGGAGGACTCGTGAGATGCTGAGACTCCTGGACTTTTGCCCATCCTGAGTTTCTATCCAAACAGAAATATGTATGCAGAAAAAATATCTTCCCAGGCCAAACCTGGGTATTAGAGAGAGAAAGGGCTTACTGGAGACAGATTTCAGTCCCAAAGACCCCCACAGGGCTTCTTGGCACCAAGAGTGCTCCCTCCTCAGCCCTTCCAAGCCTTGGTCATGTCGGTATCTTTCCCAGCATCCAAATCAGACCAGAGGGATTCGTGCCAGTCAATTCCAGCTTCCCCGTCATTCTGCACACCAGCCCTCGATCTAGAGTGAGTCACCCACGCTCAAGTTCTTTCACTTGTGGATAACAAAGCTGCTGACCGCATAGGATGGTTACAAGGATGAAATGAGATGTTATTTATTTATCCACTTCTTATATATTTAGAGTTTTTTATTGCCATAAAACTAACAGAATAAAGTGCCCTGAAACTTCACCGTAAGCTTGACAGTTTTTCTTTCCATATATGTATATACTCAGGTAACTATCACCCAGATCAAGATTTAGAGCTAAATGAGATTTTAAAGGCTGACAGCTTATAAACTGTAAAGCGCTGAAGAAATGTTGGTTTTGAATTATTACCAGGAGGTGGAGCCTCTTTCCCATTGAATTCCTCTCCTTCTACAAGATCTAGGTTTCTAGAAATCATTAGCATCAGTTGCAACCACCCTAGCAAACTGTTGCAGGTGCCAGGGCTTCAAGGCCCCAGCTAGGCAGAGTGGCCATGGAGACACAGCCCACACAGACCCACAGCTCTCTGAACCACTGCTCAGGGCATGTAACCCCTGTACCCACTCCCTCAGACACCAGGATGTCCTCACAAAAGGGGGCTTATGACAAAACAGCTGTTGTGTAGTTTCAATTCAATACAACTTGACTCAAAAGATATGCCCTGTATGCTAGGCCCTGGGCAGAGAAGGGGAGAAGGAGCTTCCTAGGCTGGGCACTCCAAGGGGGCTTATAGACTGTGGGGCTGTGGACATTAACAGGTACTTACCTGTGAAGTGAGGCCCACAGTGTCACCCTTCTCTCTCAATCCTCTTCCTGAGGATTCCCAGACCTCTCTCTCTAGCGCTGGCTGCTCCTCTGGGCTTTAGCCAGCTTCTCTGCTTTATCTGCTAGGTGTTTCCATTTGGCTGCCCCCTGGCCCCTCAAGCTCAGGTGTGTCCCTAAGAAAACTCATATTTTTACCTCCTACACCTGGCTTCCTCCTCCTGGCTTTCCTTCTTCATTCTGGCATCACTAACCCCCAATCATCCAATCAGAGCCATGTCCCAGGGACAATTTTGCCCTTGCCATGCTTCTTCTGGCCCTTCTCTACTGCCACCTCTCCATTACCTCTGGAAACCCTCATTCTGCTGGGAACCTTGGAGCTGGCTCTTTGCCAAAGCTGGAATCTGCTGCCCCATTCCCAGCCATTTCAGGACCTAGAAACATGGCCCTGCTCTACAAGTACTCCCTGAGTCCTTCAGTTGCATGTTATCAACCTCATCTGCCTGTTGACCGCTGCCACCCTTCATGTGAACCTCTTTCAGGGCCTCTGGACACTTTCTACCTCGTCTCACTCTGCTCTCCCTGTCTCCTGGTGCCTGGTGTGGTGTTGACCCTGTCATTGGTGGATCAATGGATGAGTGCTGAGTTCATGACGAGACAGCATAAGCAAAGGCAAAGCTGCTGAGCCATTAATCATACTTTCAGAGACCCCAGCCTTTAAAAAAAAAAGACCAGGATATGCTAATTCAAGTGGGGGCTTGAGAGTCTTCTTTCACCTTCTCCATCTCTGACCCTCGTGCTAACAGAAAAGGACAGGTGGCTGACACCTCACCGTCCTCAGTGTTTGAAAATGCTGAATCTGGAGAAACTTTGTCATAATTACCTACCCACTTGAAAGTACAAACTCTGTAATTTGCCTTTAAGTGATCTTAAGTTAATATAAATAATGAAGTATGCTCAGAATACTCAAGTACTGGTACATCCAATTGAACACAATTAAAATTAAGATGGATTTATTAGTATTGTGACTATTATTGATTAAAATGGTAATGATAAATAAGGAGAAATGTTAAGTACAACAGGGAGTTGGTAATATTTCTTCAAAGTAATCATTTTGCTGTGACTACCCAATTATTAGTACATTTAATGTGTTATTCAGTGCAATTAATTACCCACTTTGCTTCTGGGAAGGCACTAGGAAAAAATTGCTTTCTGCCTGGAGTGGTGGTTGCTGAGGAGAGGGACTGGGAAAAGCTGCTGCTTGCTGGAGCCTCTGTGATGAAGACCATACTCTTTGGGGATGTGGCTCCCAGCAGCTCTGATAGAAGCAGCAAGTTCCCTTGGGGAAGAAGAAGGGACACAACAGAGACCAGGTTCTTGGTCTCACAGTCAGGTGCTTTTGTAGCCATGGGAAGTGATGGTGAACAGCCTGGAGAGTGAAATCAGAAAACCTGGCTTGCTTCACTCTGTATGACAGACTCTAGGTCCATCCACCTCACTACAAATAACTCAATTCTGTTTCTTTTTATGGCTGAGTAATATTCCATTGTGTATATGTGCCACATCTTCTTTATCCATTCATCTGTCGATGGACACTTAGGTTGCTTCCATGTCCTGGCTATTGTAAATAGAGCTGCAGTGAACATTGTGGTACATGAGTCTTTTTGAATTATGGTTTTCTCAGGGTATATGCCCAGTAGTGGGATTGCTGGGTCATATGGTAGTTCTATTTTTAGTTTTTTTAAGGAACCTCCATACTGTTCTCCATAGTGGCTGTATCAATTTACGTTCCCACAAACAGTGCAAGACACTTCCTTTTTCTCCACACCCTCTCCAGCATTTATTGTTTGTAGATATTTTGATGATGGCCATTCTGACCGGTGTGAGGTGATACCTTGTAGTTTTGATTTGCATTTCTCTAATGATTAGTGATGTTGAGCATCCCTTCATGTGTTTGTTAGCCGTCTGTATATCTTCTTTGGAGCAATGTCTATCTAGGTCTTCTGCCCATTTTTGGATTGGGTTGTTTGTTTTTTTGATATTGAGCTGCATGAGCTGCTTGTAAATTTTGGAGATTAATCCTTTGTCAGTTGCTTCATTTGCAAATATTTTCTCCCATTCTGAGGGTTGTCTTTTC